ACCCTTTCCCTGCTGAAGGCAAATCCCTTTTTCTCTAAGTTGACCCTCTCCGAAAAAGAGCATCAACACCTCTTTCAAGAAAAAGATGAGGGAAACAATCCCTAGTGTTGGTTTTAAGAAGGAATTTAGGTTTAGGGTTTGAAATATTTGTTAAATCAAGCATTATATTGGATCATAATAAGGTATATTTGAGTTATTTTATTATAAAGTATTAATAAAGCCAACATGTTTGTAAAACAAGAAGAATAGACTGTTTATAGTTTCAGCCTTCATTTCCACTTAAGAATAAACTTTGGTTGGAAAAAATTGTGCTTCCATTATAACAGTTGGAATTCCACATGACAGTTTAACATTTCGGTAAGAGATGCTCTTATATATTTTACGGAATTGATTAATAGTTACTTTTTATTGTTTAGATCGTGGGAAAGGATATGTTTTTATGTGATTGAGTGAAACGATGTCAATACAATGTTTGTCATCATGTCTCCTGAGGAAATCGGCAATATATGCAATGTACCAAACTTTGAGTCTCATTTTTCCACATACAATTGTCAAGGATGAGCACAAATACCATCTCATTGCATGCCATTAAATTTATATTGTCTTTATTAACATCATGAAATTTGGAAGTCAAGCGTAAGCAATATGGATTGCAGCTTCTATGTCTGGCCCTACCAATAAAACTGCAATAAATAGGCTATCATGTATCACATCACATGTACCCAAATAATGCTCACATAGACATTCTACGTCTGAGTATTTTACATTTGTTGGTGGTAATCTTTTTACTTGGAAAAGTAATAAACAAAAAGTGGTGTCTAGGTTTAGTGCCGAGGCCGAGTACCGTGGGATGGCTCAAGGTGTGTGCGAGTTACTATGATTGAGAAGATTGTTGAAAGATCTTGGGTTTGGACCCCAGAAACCTATGGATTTGTATTGTAATAATAAAGCTGCAATTGCAATTGCGCATAACGTTCTGTGGAGATTGTTCGACATTTTGTTAAAGTTGGATGCTGAAAGTATTTCTTTTCCGTTTATATTATCTGAGTATCAACTGACATATGTTCTAAAGAAAGCTGTGTCTACTACGGTATTTCTCAACTCGCTTGACAAGTTGGGCATGCATGACATCTTTGCTGTATTTATTTCGTTTTGTACATATATTGTATAATTAGAATTTTATCTTGTTTTCTACTTTGATCATACTAGAGTTACATCCTTGTATTATAAATACCCCCTTTTGGAGAATGAAATACAATTTGAAAATATTCTACCCATATTGTTTGACTAAATAGCCAAATATATAGAGGCTTAATCAGGGACGGACCCACAGTGGGGTCAATGGGGTCAAACAACTCTATGGACTCCATGAAAGCAAGGTAGAAGGTCCCTTTGAATGGGTGTGTGAACCCATGAATGGCTGAAGGAGGAGGCTGCAGATCTGAGGAAGAAGAAGTTGAACAGGGGTTCTGTTTTTTTTATTTATAAAAGAAGCTAACCAAAACGGCGTCGTTTTGGCCCAGCTTCTAATTTTTTTAAAAAAAACTGGCTGGCCAAAATGGCGTCATTCTAAATCTCCAATCTCCACCCCCCAACAAACTTTTACATGATGACCCTACGAGATAAGATTCCTGGGTCCGTCCTTGGGCTTAATCCTTTCCCAACTCGGAAAGGAAAATATAAAGTTAGTCGGATTTCTTATTAGGTGAGTAAGTTTTGCCAAGGATAATTGTTGTGAATTGGTTCATCCGTCGTTTCTAAATTCTAAAAGGTTTTGCCCATCCAAATTCTGTCCATATGAAATGAGGAGTGAGGCAAAAACCGGGATCACATGCACATATTCCCAAGGGCGATTTGGGCCTGGACATATTCCCAAGGGCGATCACAGGCACAGATAAAACAAAAGCTTTTTGTAAGCAATTATCATATCGCACATGATTTTCTTTTTTTCTTGTTGAGAAAATCACTTTAATTTTAGATATGTGTCTTTTTATTTTATTTTTCTTTCCAAATATGTGATATCAATGAATGAAAACTACTTTTTTTTTTACGTGACTGTCATGAGTCATGACCCAATAGCCGGTTGCAACTTTCATGTTATCTTTCTCAGTTAGAAAATCTCATGATGGATATTCAATTTGTGGTCAGTATTTATAGTTATAATTTTGTTTTTTCCTTGTGGGTAATCGGTGGGGTCTTAGTCAATTTATCTTCTTTGATGAAGGCATCTCCTTACTTGCAGAGGCTTGTATTGAAGGTATGTTTTTGCTTGATTCGTAGATTAATTCATAGGATGGTCGCGTAAGCGTGCAACTTTATTTGCCTTGGAGTTTATACAAATTTCCTGCAAACAATATACAAATTAAGAGGTCTTTTACTAGTTTCACTCAATTAATTTTGTCACTCCCACCAGTAATGGACATGAGAATACAAATTCTATATGATCGATCACATAATTTATCAGCAACCAATCCAGAAGATTCTCAGTTTTGATTAGATTCCAGTCCATGAGGTTCCATAATAATCCATATATTCAGAATTATTTGAAACATGTTCCGGGTAGAAACAAAATAATAACAAAATAAACGTAAGAAAGGAGCAACCTTATACTCCTGGACCATTAATTCTAGTCTCTGAAGTCAGTCAATGCAACTGATAGTGCTTAGAGTTTTTCTTTCTTATTTGTATTACTAATAATCATGGCTTGCTTGACTAT